CTCCATCATGAAGTGCGACATTGATATCCGTAAGGATCTCTATGCCAACACTGTCCTTTCCGGAGGAACCACCATGTACCCAGGAATTGCTGATCGTATGCAGAAGGAAATCACCGCTCTTGCCCCAAGGTAACATTTTCACACCTACTATCATGCTAATCAAACTACTTGCAGCACCATGAAGATCAAGATCATTGCTCCACCTGAGCGCAAGTACTCCGTATGGATCGGAGGATCTATCCTTGCCTCTCTCTCCACCTTCCAACAGATGTGGATCTCCAAGCAAGAATACGACGAATCTGGCCCATCCATCGTTCACCGCAAATGCTTCTAATTCCCAAAATTTCACTGCTTATTTCATATTACGGATTGGCACTTTTTACTTTTTAACTTGTTTACTAAATCATGAGCATAATAAACCATTCCGATGCTTATATCTCTCGTTCTTTATCTCAAGGGTGGGGTTCCATAGCAAATCACTTGTCAGAGACACATGTGGAAAGAGGCGGAGTCAAGGGTTTTGTGTTTATGGAATAGCGTATATGTAAAGTTAGTTGCCTGTGGCAATATCTCTCTTTCATTCGAAATACTAAGAATGATGTGTAATATCCTGCCAAACCGATCTGATCCTTTTCTTAGAATTCACAGATGATTTGTTTCGGGTGGAACCGACAAACATCTATTACAACGTACTCTGCCACATGGACCTTTTTTCAAAAGACAGGGGTGAGCATAACAGCAAAGATACTAGGAAAAGCTTGAAAAACCTGGGGCGGAAAATTCCTCGAATCATGGCACAGAAGAATTTCTTGATAAACTGACCACAGATCAAGCTGGCGATTTCAAATCTCCTTATCACAAAAAACGATCTATTCTCAGAGGTGAGCATTTCAAACTGGTTGGCTATAAACAAAACCTTCACTTTACTACTTACATTTGCAAAGAATCCAATATTGTACGCATCGCACGGAGAGTAACGCATCTATCGTTTTGCAAACAGATATCTGTTTGAAAGCAGTGCTCTCCTTCACGGAACAACTACTAAACATACTTCTTAAGCTAATCTGTCCAAATGCTCCAATGTCTTCTAGTTGGAGTTATATTGCCATAAGAAGCAATTTATAAGTCCACTATCGTATAACAACAACCTTCAAAGATTGTCCGCTCGATCGCATCCATTGGCCGGTCTGTTCAGCCATCTCTCTTACCAAGTTTCAACTCTTCCAGAACGGAAAAAACTTGCGGTTTATAGATTGAACTTTGATATTACATGTTGTATACAAGATATTCGTCCTTGTTAAATTCGGAGCGAGAAAAGATGTTTAGGTAAACGTCCCCAATCACTCTTTGTTCGTTCGTTTATTCTTCATGGTAGCTCTGTAATATTTGCCATGAGCGTCTTTTTTCGCTACGTTCATGCTTCTCAGAACCTCGCGAGATTATCATTGTTTGTTCGCGGTATACGCGCTAGCCTTCCCCACTTGCTACTAACATCATCACGAATTATTGAAGAGGAGTACTTTTTGATTTGCTTCATAAACTGTACGAAGTTGCATTTTGTATCCAACTTAACAAAACTGGCGCGTTCTTATGTTATATTCTGTGTAGGACCTCAAATTTGAAACAGTCATGTTTTCTTTTGCGCGGGAGGAGAAAGTTTCGTCATTGGTGCGCGTTACTAGGGATTTTTATGTGATTCATTGGCTGGTAAACTTTTCTTACAGTTTTATTTCTTCTGATATTCTTTGTTAAAGTCATGAACATTTTTCTCTTTGTATGATTTTGGATTCATGCCGCATCTTCACTGATCACTTTAAGTGATTCTTGGAAGCAGGTGCTCTCTTGAGCAGTCTCTTCTTCTTATTTCTGTGTTGTATTCCTTGACAGTTTTCTAGTGTAAGCTGGGATTGTGGCATCGAAGTGGGCATGTGTTCTGTGATTGTCTACCATCTCTCTTGGCGCATAATCACTGTACGCTCTCTTTCTTAGTCTCTCCTGTGCTGTGTAAACCCCGGTCCTCCGCCTACACCCGTCCTAGCCGACCCACTCATGCACCACTCCTTCCGATGCCGGAGACTTAAATGTCGCACCACCCATTTCTTCTGATTAGTTTTCACTTGTTTCGTGGTTCATCATGTTCGCTGGTTGTGCTCATTACTGCTCTTTGAAAAATTTTTCTTAATTTTTTTTCATACAGTTCCTTTCTTTTAAGGAGATTTAATCATGTGTGACGACGAGGTTGCCGCTCTTGTAGTTGATAATGGATCTGGTATGTGCAAGGCCGGATTCGCCGGAGACGATGCTCCACGTGCCGTCTTCCCTTCCATCGTTGGACGTCCTCGTCATCAAGGAGTCATGGTTGGTATGGGACAGAAAGACTCCTATGTAGGAGATGAAGCCCAATCCAAGAGAGGTAATAGAGAAATGATCATATGGTGGAAGCTTGAATGTTTCTAGGTATCCTTACCTTGAAATACCCAATTGAGCACGGTATCG